TCTTTCCATCTGAAGTTGATTCAAGGGCTTCAATAGTGTGAAAAGGCATAGCTCTTTATATTGATTTCACAGGAAAAACCTCTGAAAGCTTTTATGTTGTGAGATGAGAATCAAATTTACCTAAACCAAGGGTTCCCAAACCTTTTGAGTGCATAGATCATCTCTTACACTAACAGTTGGCTCAGAGAACAATTCCTGTCTCGTTTGTGATATCTGACGTCTTTATACAGATTTCTCATTATACACAATTCCATGTAGGCAAATTGCTGACAAAGGAAACTCATCTTGATTAGGAAAGGCTTGTTTTTAAGTTGTCTCTTAATGCAGTTAAGCAACAGCAAATGAGAAGCAGCAGCCAGCTTTTTCTTTGTGGACTGTAACTAGGGAACTTTTGGTTTACATTGTTTAAAATAAAACATTTTCTCTCCCCAGAGTTTCAGGTGGAAAAAAAAAAAGCAATATTCAAAGTGGTTATAACAGTTTTCCATCTACTTGCTCCTTTTCTTCCCCAGGAAAACCAGTCTTTTAAGCACATCACTAGTGTTTGTGTACTGTGATGTTTTTGTTTCTAGGATTTCGGGATTTTTTCTTTTTTTTTTTTTTTTTTTGCATGACCTCATAATTTTTCTTTATAAATTCCTTCCAATTTTTTATTTGAGAAATACTAACAAAATATGAGTCCAAATTGGCAGGAAAAGCAGGAAACATGGATTTTTTCACCTTGTAATTGCCAAGAACATGATTAACACTGTGAGCCATGAAAAACGGCTAGGCTGGAGACTTGTATTTCTGTAGCTACTAAAGGGAGTGGAACAGAAGATATCCTACTTGGTTTCTGTCCTAAACTTCTTTTTTCCTGTATACAAGGTATTTTTTAGAAAATAGACAATGCAATGTAGCATGTGTAAGTTACAATGACTGTTACAAATTAAAACATGCATTTTGTTTCACAAGGCAATATAAGGTTGCCATTACTTTGCCCAAAATAAGGGTAGGGAATTAATTCATGTAGTTCTATTACCTCCCCTCCAAAGAGGGAGGTTTTTAGTGTTAAGAGTATTATAACACTATATCTCATAATGTTATATTTTTAATATCATATATTAAAAATTTGTTTAGACTGAATAAATAGAAACAGTAAATCATTGGGCAGGTACTTAACCATAAAACAAATCCCTTACAGAAACTGCGCAGGTGTTAGCAAATGATACTTTTCTTTAATACATCTCTAAATTGAATTTCATTCAACCATTTACATTACAATATCAACATTAATTTTATATTTCAGAAAATATTTTTCAGCAAAACACACTTCTGAGTTTATCTCCAGAAAATTAATGTATGGTTTTCAAGTGGTTGTTGGAATTACAGGTGGACATTCTATATAGCATACTAGGCTCCTTATCAATTCATGCTGTATGTTATTTCATTCCTCCAGAGGTGAATTATCAGAGGGGGCATTAGTTAAATAGTAAGTTATACAGCATGTACTAGCTGCTGAATGCACACTTCTGACACAAGTCTTAAAAGCACTTAATTTTGCTCTATCTCTGCTAAAAAATCTTTCACATTCTGGTTTCAGACTACTTAATAAATAAAATTGAAAGACAGCAAAAAAACAACAGTAAAAAACCAGAAATACAACAATAAAAATATGGTCTGGTTTTGTGGGTTTGAATGTGAGACTTTTAAATTATACAAATGTGGAAGCACTGAAGGAACCAGACTTTGTCCTGTTATTTTAAGGCTTCTAAGGAAATGCAGAAAGAGGAAATGATTCAGGCCATGTGACGTAATGTGTTCTATTTTTGTTCTTTAAAGTTCAAAGGGTTTATAGTTGTGAAAAGGACATATGCAAAAGCAACAGCCACAATAGAAGATATTTTTCTCATCTGATTTTGGGTTAAGTTGTGTTCATATCACAGCCTGAGGAAGGAATTTCATCTTCCAGGTCACAACATGGCTATTGCATCTTTCTTGTTCTAGTGCTTACCTGTTATAATGGAACATCTGAAATATGTGTGCTGGAGGATATGCTAGATTTTGCCTTTAGTTTTGATTTATCCCTTAATCATTATTTTGTGATGTGCTATGTACTTTTGATATTTTGTGCGTTACTGGCTTCTTTCTTACTCTGTCCTTTATTCTCCAATGCTTCCACTGTATTTTTCCGCTGAGAGGTGAAATGTCATGCTGGTTAGTGTTCAAGATTAGATGAAATCTTTGCTCTTTCAGGTGACTTCTGTATGAAATAAATGACTCTTGTTTGTTCAAGATGTAAATTGCTGCCCCCTTCTGTACACAAAGCTGCGTACAAGTTGTCATATGCTTGTTTTACGTTTAAGGCGGGGGGGGAAAAGGCTTTTGTTCTGGTTTCAAAGAGGTGATATTGGCAAGTCTGTAACTTCCAAAGACTATTGGACATAGTGTATGTGTAGATTCGTGTGTGCATTTCTAATACCCTATGAAAAGTAATTGAAGATTTCCTACTAATTTTCTTTGGGTATGTTCTCAGGAAAAACGGAATGTGATTTTTTAAGGAGAAAGCATGTACTTGTACATGAAGAAAATATAGCATAAATATGTTCTTCTGATGAATTGATTCTTACAGGATATGACAGCTAGAGATTTGCTACAGCAAAGATATACTCTTCCTAATGGAGACACTGCTTGGAGACCATCACCACTTGTTACTGCTGCCCTGGAAGGAAAGCTTGTTATTCTTGATGGCATTCATCGAATTAACCCTGGCACTCTAGCTGTACTTCAAAGGTCAGGATGTGAGCACGGATAAGTTGGGTGCACGTGATCGGTTTATTGAGCGCATGCATACTGAGAAATTAAGTTCCTTCTCGTGAATATGACTTTATAACTTCAAGAATACTGTAAAAAATCAAGCTGAGCATTGAAGTCTCACCGAATATGTAATGTTCAGTCTTGACAAACTTAAAAGCGGAAGCAATGTCTTCATGTTCTTTGTAAGTCTATAACAACACAGGAAATCTCAACTTTTTGTAAATACAGAATGAAAGTATGAATTGAAGAATGAGCTAGACTTTAAACTTATGAAATCTAAAAGTTAGTAATATTTGCACAATGATTTGAAAATGCAAGATGTCAGAAAATGTTTAAAATGCTTTGAATGCATTCTGCTACTAAATAAAAGGTGATCATTACGATTGTATGTAAAAGCATACTTTATATTGGTTGCAAAGAACTCTTTCTAAACATTATTTCATAACTCAATAAAAAGTAAATTAAACTTTGAAGAACAGAAGTAGTAATAGCAGATACTATGTTAATAATAATCTATACTGTCAGCTCAAATTTTTTCCACTATTTCACGTGCTTGCATCATATACTGCCTTTTGCAAACTTAAAGGGCATCACCACGTTTAAAAGCAGACTGTAGCAAAAACATTTTATGCCTTCTTTTGTTATTTATATATACATGCAGAAGGGCAGAAGAGAATTATGCTTGCCTGTTTTTTCCTTTTTTAATCACTTTAGCTTTCCCTTCTGATGTTTCTTCTGACATATGCATGTATTATATCTAATTAACTTCTGCATTAAAAAAAATAAAAGCTAGGTCTGTATGTATGTTAATCGTTAAAGCCAACTGAAATCTATTTCTACAAGAAACTTAAGAAAAATAAAATATAAGAAGTATATTACTTGATGTGATTATAATAAAATGGCTGTTTCATGCCATTTATGCACTATACTGGTAAGACAGAATTATTTTTTTTCATTTTCTTACCATATCTATTTAAACTAAGTCGACTAACTGACTATGTGCTAAAACTGTTTACTTATGCGTATTATTTTTACCTCCACACCTGGATACAGCTTAAATTGGTATAACTTTGTCTTTTAACTATGACCCATGTTGACTGAGGTAGCTTTTTAAAAAAGCATTGGTTGATAAGTTTTTTAAAAAGTAATCAAAGGCTAGATAAAGCTTATTCTTTATTTTCAAACAGATTAATACATGACAGAGAACTGACCCTCTATGACGGCACCAGATTGTTAAGGGAAGATAGATACCAAAACTTAAAAGAAGAATTGCAGATCTCTGATGAGAAACTACAGGAAAGGTAAAGTGTCAGCTATGATCATAGAATACAGACATCATTTCATCCTGTAAAGAGCTTAATCTCTTTTTTTTTTTTTAACAAGAACATCATGCAAAATGCATCCCTATTAAATTGATACCTTTTAATCACTCAGAGAAACATGTTTTAAACATCAGTTTCCTCATGAGCTTTTTTTTTGTGGCATGGGAAAATTATATCCTATTTAGAGTGCTTGAACTAAAAGGAAAACTTTCAATATCCTTTAACAGAAGGAGTCAGAAATCAAAGAGAAATTGTAAATACATAGAAACACAGATATAAACATATATATTACTTAATTTTGGAACATTTTATAAAGACTGTTGGAAAAGAAAGCTAAAGTGAAGTTAAATACAAGTTGTTCCTTTCTTTTGCCTCATTAGCTAGAAAGCTGGTATTTAATTTACAACTAATATGGGGCAGGAAATCCTAAGGATGGGTTGGGACCCATTATGCTTATTCTTTTTGTTTCTTCACTTCCACTTGTCTGCTAGAAACATTCCACAGATAGAAATGTTTTCTAGCCCTCTGAGGCTGTACTTGATACATAGTCAAACACTGCTGATCAATTTTAGTTAATGAGATATTGTTGAGTGTACATCAAAGCAAATGCAATCTATTATTCAGTAATATGTAAGGAGTTAAACGTACTGTGATTCTTAAATGGCTTTAACCTCTGAAAAAACAGTTAAAGTTTTATGTCACATGTCCATGCTCATATTTACACTGCAGGGTGTGCATGTGCCCAGACTTCTAAGAGGCCTTATCGGTTATGGTAGGGATGCATTCATGATGTGCCACCCTGTTTCTCTCAACTGTCTCATTGAATACGATTTTTTCCTTTGACATCCTTTGTAGTCCACCCTTTAGAAAAGCTGTTTTTCTTTTACTGCTAAATTGTTTTGTTATTTCTGGTTCCCTTTTGATGCAAAATACTGTGGTGTTTTTTTTTAAAAAAACCAACAAACCAAACCAAACTTCATTTTAAGTCTTCCTTAGCATTTGTTTTGATTCTTTTTAGTAGGTGTGGTGTAATCTGTGCCTACTTGTTGCAAATTGTATCCACGCTGCTGAGGCCATACACCCAGCTAGATGGGCGTTTCCTGCATTTGTTTTATTTGAATGAAGAACTATGTATCAGGGAAGTGTTCTGTTTATCAGGATTTTAAGCCCAGACTTTTAAAAGAGAGGCAAAAAAGCTCCAAGGATCCATCTTGGATGGTATCCCAGCTTTGCATTGGACTTTGTACTTCAAAATGCGTATAGTCATTGTGTGTCTACTCCCTGCTCCATGTTCATGGTCTTGTCCAAGGTGCTTTCAGACAGAATAGCAGTGGCGGTGCTGTTTTACTTACTGAATGGTACCCTTTAGTTCGTGCCAATATACTCCAAAACCCTAGACAATTCATCACACATTAACCTTCAGTACAGCCCCTCTTCCTGGATCAAATCTCTCTCACAAGAATAGAGCTTTACATCTGGATTCTATGTCTCCCTGTTTGTTCTAACTATCACTGTTTTGGCAGTGGACTCCTTTATAACCTTCATTATCTGTTAGACCACGAGAACTGTCCAAGCTGTCTTCTTTAATGACTATTCTGCAGACCCATCTTCTTACTGTGCCACTTCTGTACACACTTGCCTTCCCTTCACTGTCATTGAATAACCTTGTGGTTCCACTGTGCCAGTTGTGCATTGCTTTTGACTACTTTGGAGGCTCCAAAAGTCTTTTTTTTTGGCTTTCCTGGGAAGGCTGTCCCCCTTTCCTTCAGATCACAATGTACTGCTTTTACCTAGCCACCTTAATATTTTGCAACATAGTGTATTATGAATTGCTAAGTTCTAAATTAAGTGTTTGACTGACAGCGAACTTTCACACTCTGAGCCATAAATGAAGGGTGTCTGTTATCTTAGACAGGAATACATTTCTGATTAGTACTTGATCTTGCATCTGGAAGTTCCTTGTGACCATTTAGCACCATCTTGGATACAGGTGAAAATTCCTGGTACGGAATTAGCTGAAGTTCATTGTGCTCAGAATCCACTTTCTCCTAGGTGAAACGTTCAATCTGGCCCTTATTCAACTTTCTTCTGTACTGACTTATTCAAAAGAAGCCAGGGTAAAGTAATGCAAACATGTATCTGCTTCTTTGGTTTTGGCTATGGGCTTTTTTGGGATCAGTGAACTGCTCCTCTGTGGAGAGGGCACTGTTCCCACCACCCCTTGAGGAACTGAAGGTGTTCCAGGACCTCATCCTGGTTTTGGTCTCTTAAATACTCTGAAAACATCACTACTGGCTCCAGGATGTGATGTCAATAGTTGCTCTGTGTTTCCAGAACTGCATTCCTCCCTGCTACTCATCCTTTTCAGCAACAGTTGCCTGTCAGTGCAAGCTTCAGTGCTTTCCAGTGTTGTAGAATGGCTGTGCAGGATTAGCCCTTCTCTCCAGACACCTTCTCATCAAATGATATTTAGGGTACAGACAAAGAAAACACGATGGTACTAGCCATCCCTCATTTGCCTGCAAAAGATTGCCTTGTGGAGATGTTATATGGAATATGTTGTACCTTAAATTTATCAGCAGATTGGCTGGGTAAGTTCTTACTTCTAAATCATGATTGGGAGATGCTTTCCATGTTGATGAATTGTCTCTTTTGCTGTGTGTTGATGGCTGTGCCTAGTGGCCTTAGCTATACTCCTGATCTTACAGTAAGACAAAAAGAGAGCTTTACCTATCCTGGTTTACTGGATTTGACTAAAGTAATTTTGGTAGAGTTGCTTTTGACCAGGCCTGCAGAATATAAGCTGTCATTCCCAGTTCTGCTGGGACTGAATCTGGGATGTTTGATGAGTGACACATCAAGACTACTGTTAATTTTCCAATAAGAGAATTCCCTATGGAAAGGGAAGTTTTATTTTTTTGAATCAGGAGATTATTCTGACTTTTTTCCTAAATCCCACTCATTCAGCTTTGATTCTCATTTGTATGTTGGGAAGTGATATGGTACATAGAATATATTCTAAGTTACAAAAGTAACTTTTTATTTCCTTATTAACCTTTTTATTATCTGCCTGATCTCATGTACTAATGTAGTTCTTATAAGAAACAGAGGAAGAGGAAAAAACATACTGAGTGGCACATCAATGATTCAGTGGAAGAGCATGGCAGAGTTTTAGAAGTCTAAGCAGTCAGACAGGACCTAAATGACGTAGCTGAAAATAGTCATAAACAGAGGAGAAATGAAATCAAGAGAAAAAAAGGAGTATTTCTGAAGGACTAGAACTTGAAAGAAAGAAGTCAAAAGCTTCATTAGGAAATCGTTAGATTAGAGGGCAAGGCCGTCTTCAGAATTTCAGAAAAAGCAGTAGCTGGAGACTGGAAGGCAGCTGTGATAGAGAAGAAGTGCTATGTTACTGCCATATGTCAGAGAAACTGAGAACATGGAGTACATACTTCCTCTCCCCCTCCTTTGGGTCCGCTTTGCTGTGCGTGGGTGTTCTTGATTGTAGTGACTATTTCTAGTATAGTTTGCAGTTGCTGTCTTCTGTGTTACTTCTAATCATTCATAAATACAAAATAACTCACTGTTACTCTCTGTTCCCTTAATTTAAGATTCACTAATGAGATGGCCAGATGCTGCTGTAAGTTACATAAATAGAAATGTCTTTCGTAATGGAGAACAACTGATAATGCTTTTTAGTAGACTACTTGGACTCAGTACTTTGTGAATGGAATTTTAGAACAGAATTTCCATTTAAATCTGTTTCAGAGAAAAGGAGTACTATTCCTAACCAATGAACCAAAACTTCTGTAAACATTATTTTTTTTTACTCTGTGTTTGTAAAAGGATTTGGCACACCTGAAGATTTTTCCCATTTGTACAATGAGAAAATTTGAGATATTAATGGAGAAGTTTTAGGAGATCGCTTCTTCAGACAAGCAAGACACATTTTGTACTAAGCTTTCATGCTCCTATATGAAAATATTTGATAGTAAAAAAAAAAAAATTTTTTTCACAGTTTTAGCGCATTTAATTTTTACTGCTTCAATAGCAATAGAACTCATATGTGTAGTGGAATAGAAAGGAGAGTACTGCACAATCCATCACTTAATATCCAACCCTGATAAGTCAAGAGTTTGTTGGGGTTTTTTTGAATAAAGGGATGGTATTTCACATCACAGTGTGGTTTAAAGAAATGACATGCCTCTGTATACATATGTAAACAGTATTACAGTAGAGAATGTGAATGTACCTAGACAATGGCAGTGTTATTAGAAGCACAGGACAAAGAGGAAAATATTACTTGGTTTTCAGATTGTTTTCAAGTTTTGAAGCTTAGAACACTATTATTCATAAATTACAATTTTGGACAACTTCGTTTAAAAGTTTTGTTAACTTTGTAAGAGCTAATAAAATATATTGTAATTTTAAACAATGTTAATTATTGCAATTGAGTTATATATTCATTATTATTTCATTATATTTCTATATCTGTCATGTCTAATAGCATTTCTCTCAGAAGGGCTTCAGACTGGTGCGTGCAATAGCTGTCATGACTGACAAGTGCAAGCAGTACGTTTGTTTGCCCTTGTGAGATTTTGGGGATACTCCTTGGCCTGGTGAAAGCCTATAAGCTCCAAGGTATGTAGCAGTGGGCACAGAGTAGTTTTTCCTCTATTCTTTCTTCTGCCAGTTTCTGGAGTTAAGTTAGCAAACAGTCACAGTAAGATGACATTCGCTCATTTGAGGAAACTAGGTATTTTTGTTTATGCGTTTGAGGAGAAAAAAAGAAAAAGTTGCTCTTGAGAACATGACAGATGGTCCTTAAAGATCTTTTACATAGAAGGAAATTATAGCAGCTGATTCTTTATTCATGTAATGATTGTATGATTCATTTTCCTGAACAGGTTCAGAGTTTAAGAGAAAGTACGTTCAAGTACTGTGCATATCCAAGATTTCTGCATAGAATTTCTTCTGTAATCATCCATTACTTCACTGAGACAGATACTGTAAAGGTAGCACACAGCCTTTACAAGACAAGCAGTGAAGTGTTGGTTTGTCTTATGGTGCAGTATTTTAACCGATTTGGGTGGATATCCCCTCCCCATGACACATGCACACACAGACACAGAGATGATAAGTCCTTGGTGTGGAGAGCAGAAAGGCAGCTATTATAGGAAAATCTAGAAGTAGGTGTATAACAGGATTGTTCAAAAGCTGAAAGAAGTCAGTCATCATGCATGGGTGGTTTTAATGCCCTGCAGACAGTGGATTCTTTTCCATGCGATTAGGTTGAAAGGGAGCACACAGTAGATGAGACAAATATAAAATGTGGCAGGGAATGAATTTAGCAAGCCATAAAAGTTTTTAATTGCTTACATTTTCTAGCTTTTACTTCACTTTTTTTTGTGTTGGTTGTTTTTTTCTCCAGTTTAGTGAATTCTCAGATAAAGTAATCTGTTAATTTTAGACTGTGGTGAAATGTAAGAAAAACAGCAAGAAAACAAGACTAGGTCATTGTGGTCCTAGTATTATAATAACTCTGAATTCATAAAATTTCATAGAAAATGAGATTTGTGAAATCATATTACAGGAAGAGATGACCAAAAATAGTTTGGTTTTGCAAGGTGACATTAGGAATGCTATTCTGCTTGCTTTTATTTGTTTTTTTTTCGTAAGGAAAAGCTTCAGTTGCTCAGAACCATGTGTCGATAACAAGAAAATCTTTTCCTAAAATCACCCTGAACAGACTCTGTTCTGATCTTTCTCTCAAGAGCAGTGACGGTAATCCTTGGTTGGAATTAAACACTGATGTCAAAAGAAGGACACGTGTATTATTAGGAGAGTGCTCTGCTACCTATGTTGTCAGTAAACATTTAATAGAGAGAAGGATAGAGACTCTTTGTATTAATCAACTAACAGCAAATCTTCCCACGGTGTTTGAGGCTCATTAATTTAATTTAAAAGGTGTCTAGTTTTTAACAAGATACACTTACTCGGCCTTCATCTGCGAAGAACACAAGATGTCAAGGATTTCTTTTTTATAAAATGTAGATCCATGTAGGAGCTCCATATTAGAGTCCTTTAGAGACTTGATCTCTAATATGATGGAACAACTTTGAAACTCCAGTTGCGCTGATGGAAGCTGGGAACATTCAGAGCATTGCAGGATTGAGTCATTCGTGGCATTTGTTTTAGTAGTACACTTAGCTTGACTTTTTCAACATTACAAACATCAGTCCAAACAATAGGCTTTTGAAGCAGCCAGGTAGTTTTATTCATGTTTACAAACTGGAAACCTACAGCAGTGATGTTGTGATATGTCCAAATCTAGAGAGTACATCGATGACTTTAACTGCAGTCACCAAGTTAGCTTGCCCTGACTTTGCATCTCCTCTCCTCCCACTTTTCCCTGTGCCCTCTCTGGCTGTCCCTGCCATGCCCTTCGAATTAGGCAGGGACGTGGATGTGGTACAAGAGAAATGTTTTCCCTTTACTGGGGAAAGCTGACTGCTGCTTATGTTCTCTTTTGCAGAAGGACCAGAATTGGTCTTTTGAATTTGTTGGATTTCTCGAGGAGGGTTGTGTAGAATCATTTTATGTTAGCAATGAGCTGGAGGGTATTTTAAGAATGTGATAAGATGTGGGAAAGTGCAGAGAGTTATGCAGGGAGGTGAGCTTGTGGGGCAGGAGATAGATAAGCTTGAGAAACAAGGCCATGGGAGCAGGATGAGACAGGGAGCTTGTATGTTAGACAAAGAACTTGTGTTTAATTTACGTGGAAGCTATGCATGATATAGACACCCGTCAGGATCCTTGCTAAGGAGCGTGATAGTCACGTGGACAGTACATGTAACCAATTAGAGCTTGAGCAAGCGCGTGTACGGAAGTAGAAAGTAGTATGTAAGATGTAGTCTTCTGATTAATAAACGACTTCTCTGATCGTCATATTGGTGTGCTGAGTCGTCCGTGCCTCACATGAACGGAGAACCCCACAGGTTGTTTTTCTTCTTAGTAATGGGAGGGGGCAGGAGGTGAGTCTAGAAGTACATGTATTTAGCCTACCTAGGAAACACTTTCTTCTATAACAAGGGTGGCTAATGTACCCTGACCTTCTTTTATGCTTAGTGACAGTGACATTCCCATTGGTTCCTCTTTCATGTGATGTTTTCAGACATCTATTTCTATTTTTATCAATCGGGGAGTAGCTTCTAGGCTTATGACTTTCAGCTGAGAATAACTCATGCCACCCCCTGTGTTTGCTCTGGTATAGAGACTGTTTGCTATAATGGCTCTGTTGTATCACAGGTTTATTGTGATGAACAGATGAGCCAACTATGCAGTAGGTTTGTTAATTTATGCGTAATGGTCATAGTCTGTCTTCAAATTTTCTTGCTTATGCCACCATTTCCCCCGTCAGTTTAACAAGCAAGAATAATTGATTCCAAGTGTTCTGATTTTGAGTGCAGTAATTTATATGGAAAATGGCATGATAACAGGCATATCTAGCAATATAAACTGATTAAACTTCACTTGCTTTTTGCAAATTAACATCTCCTATTTTCATAAGAGTACTGTGAAATTAATTGTTGAAAACAGGCCCTCCTTGCACAATTTGATTGGCTTTTGTATCTGACTTGTTACTCTCTATTATTTCTACTGCTTCTAGAGATCATGCAGTTGTGCCAATTGATGAGTACCAATGAATTCCCAGTGCAAAGAGGTAATAATATTACATAGATAAGGGAGATAAAAAGATATGAAGAAGGCAAAGGTACCAAAAACCGAGGCAGCAGTCGTCTTCTGCCCTAACACATGCATCTAAAAGTTGTATATTTAAGTTTGTGTCGATCACAGTAATCTCCCATTCTTCAGTGAAATCAAATAGGCACGTGTCTAAGAGACTTTCAGTCACCAAATCCTGCAGTGTCATCTAGGGGACACTGACTGAAGCTAGCAGATCAGTTGCATAAAGATTTAAAAAATAATGGTAATAAGAGTACCTTTTACAACCATGAACAGTGCATGTGTTGCCACAGGAAGTTGTGCAGGCAAATAGGACGAAGAAGTTCAGAAAGGGATTAGACAAATTTGTGGGTAAAATAGAGATCTACCTTCCAATATCTTTGAAGATATGATTGTGGGTGCTGGGAGAGTATGAGGGGGACAAACTACTGGTAGTGGCTTGACTTAGGTGCTTTCCCCAAGGAGTATCTTCAGCTGTTGTAATCAGAGACAGAACACGTAGCAAGATGAGTAGATTGAAGGACCCAGCGGGGCATTTCTTAAGTTCTTGTAAGTCTTAATCTACCATTGGAGGGGCCTATCTCCCCATGCTAACTCTAAAACGAGCCAAGGATAATGTAACTGGTTTGGTCTTTGAAGTATAACTTTCAGAAATACTATGAAGTTAGGCATATTAGTCCCACCCTGAGAGTCTAGGTGATTTTCCAAGGACCCCAAAGAGCATCAGTAAGAAGAATGTTTCTAAAATGTTCCTAAATCCAACTCTTCATGGTATCTAGGCCAATCTCTACAGTGTCATCCTTTCTGTCAGTCTGAGTAAAAGAAGTTACTCATTACTGCAGCTCTGGTAGATCTTGTTCTCTCCCTGATTTGCCTGTGAGACATCCTGCTTTAGGTAAAGCACTTGTAGAAGTCCATCAGATGAGGCAGATGTCCATTTCAGATGTACAACAGAGTACACTGTAGCTTAGTTGCTGGTTTGTTCATCTTGAGGCATGCAGGTCCTGTTGCAGTTGAGGATACTTGGGTACCCTTTTGAGCATAAAAAGATTGTACATTTATAAAATTGCAAGTCACATTATGCAGTCTTTGTCTTTTTTTAAAAAAACAGTTGCATTGCAAATGATCTGAATAGACTGTGGTATGATTGAGTACAATAGTTATTTTTTTATCTATTGTAAAAATTAAATTTGATATTCACTGCTTAAGCCAGGTAATGAATTTTTAAACTCTTTTTGCAGGTCTATCTTTCCTATCCATCCTTCTTTCAGAATAGTGGTGTTAGCAGAACCTCCTGTCATTGGGAGTAGTACCCAACAGTGGCTGGGTCCAGAGTTTCTGACTCTGTTTCTTTTTCATAATGTTCAATCTTTAAGCAAGAGTGAAGAAACTGAAGTTATTCAAGGAATGGTAAGTACGTTCAATTTTTTAGACACTTATTGACTATTGCTTACTGAACATGGTTATTTACTACATCAAAAATATTTTGCTATTTCAGTGTAGCATAAATGGGTCTTCATTTTGAAAGCTTATCAAAGCAGCATATCTGCTTATCTTTTAATGATATTGGTATAAATTAGCATTGCTATTGTGATATTAAAAGATACTGTAGTAGAAGAATGCTCTTTGTCAAAATTGTATTCCTTTTTGGTTGACATGCAGCAACTATATACTCATTGCATCTAGTTGTAGCTGTATATGGAATTTGCATATCTTGCAGTAAGATTAATACTGTTTTTCTTTCAAGCAGATTCCAAATGTACCCAGTGTTGCTGTGGAGCAGTTGTTGTCATTAACACACAAGCTTCGGGAGACAAATGATGCCACAGTGAGCAATTTTTTTTTTTTTTTTTTTTTTTTTTTTTAAATTTACTTTCTCCTACTGTGGCTGTTTGTTTTAACGAAAGCTGGGTGAAGCATGCTAGGCTATAGTGTTGTTTCAAAGGCTGCCTGATTGGAAACCCAGCTCCACAAAATTATTGCTGGCTATTACTGCACTGCATACTGTAAACTTTTTTGATATATGATGTACATTTTTAGAATCTGCATAAGTAAAGCTTTTAAGAAATTGCCTGAATCCCAGAGAAGTCAGGCAAAACAGTACATGTTGTCAGTGGGTTTAGATCCATGGCTCACAGTAAAACATGCTTAAGGTCCCTTTTGAATAGGTATGGATATAATCATGTGTGTCGAAATATTTTTTTGTTTACTTTGCTTTAGTCATTGGAACTTTGATCACTGAAATTATCGGAGCTTTTTGGGCAATGGGGACTACCTAACCATTATAAAATGCCAACGGGCAACAGCAAAGACTCAGAAAAGGGAAAGTTTCAGAACTCCTGGCTGCGTTACTGCTACGGACTATTCTATTAAAGCAGTCTTGTCAAGAAAAATAAGTTCTGCTGACACAGTAACCAACCACAAAATCCTTCTAAAAGATACAGTCAAGTCATGGTGAAAAGAAAAAGAAATTATTGCTATGGCAACTAAAGCACTGGATGCTTTTAATGTAACTAAAACGTAAAACATCTCTAGTGTAATCCAGCAGTTTAACTGGTATGCAAATGTAATCCGTTCTCCTTAGTTTTCATGATTTTAACATGACTAATAATTTTTCTAGTATCACTATTTAGGAAGCTGAGAGAGGCTGTTATGCACTTCTGAGCTTAATAAAAGGAAGTAAAAAGGTTGACTTTTAGGTACACCTTTGGTACAGTGTTGTTATTATCTGTTTAGCTTCCTACAGCTAATGGATAAATGTGTTGGATTTTGCATACTTGGAGACATACCGTGCCTGAACAGAGCATTACAAAAATCCTTTCCAAATATGTAGATGTCTGTAGCATTGTGAAATATCTAAATGAAGTATGTGATGTTGGATGAGAAGTGAGTCACATTATGGATCAAGGGAGGATTCTTGCAGATCAGCAGTGACATGAGACATGTTGAGGATAGCACACCTGTGCGGAGAGCTGAAATGTGTGCCTTACGTATGTCAGACTATTTATAGAGTTGACTAAGTAAGCCTCTGCCAGAGATTATCCTGAAATATTAGCCATTGTTTAAAGTGATTTTGTTAACAATAGAAGAATACCTGTAGACTGTTCAGCCTGTGGGCGTTGTCTGCGTCATTGTAATTGTTTGCTTGATTTACAATAGAATCTAGAGACTACAAACAAGATCCTGTTGAATTAGATGCCTCATAGATATATGTTACAAAGACTGTCACTAACCCAATTTTGAGTTTACAGTTGTTCAATATGAAATATTAAAAAAACCCAAACAAACATCAAGTAAGAGAAAAGAGGAAATTTTGTTCCCAACTTTAACTGCCAGTTGCAAATACTCAGAAGATGTGATACGTCTTTTCCTCTGTCATCCTGTTCTCTTTGCTTATTTATTTCAGTGCACGATCTGATCCTATATATTATTTGGACTTTAAAATGCCCATGCCCTTAGAGATTGGATTTACCAAGGTGGCACAATGTATGAAATACCCTACCTGGGTTGCTATGCCCAGCTGCCATTCTCCATCAGTGCAGTCCCATAAGTTGTGATTGAGGAGGATTGCTTACCTGCCAAAACTTACTCTACTTGGGAACCTTTCAGCTGTTTAAGATACTTTTGGAAAGAGAATATAATCTCCAAAGGCAGTGAGGATTCTGGCTAGTGAACAGGGATAACAAGGATACAGCACTCACCTTTCTCCCTTGCTGATGCTTCACACAGGACTGAGTAGGTCTTGAAATGCCATCATTTACATCACAGAGTCCATAATGCTGGGTGGTAAACTCTGATGGTTCAGAAGATGCTTCACAGTGTTCCGTCAATGAAAGCAGGAGGAGCCAGAGTAGTAATCTTTGCAGTTAGCCCAATCTAAGTCATTCTTGCTCATTACTTGGAGCTATGCTAGAAAGTATTATAGAATCATAGAATCATAGAATCATTATGGTTGGAAGAGACCTCAAAGATCATCAAGTCCAACCTTTGTTTTCTCAGCATTCAGGAAAAGTTTTGTATAATTTCATAGAACTGATTTTTTTTTTTTAAATATTAATGCCTGTTTGTCAAAAGTACAGTTTTCCAGGGGAAAGAATTGGTGTTAAGATATTCCTTATGCTTAAAAATTATTAAGGGGGGAAAAAAGTCTCTAAAGTTCATGAAGTGCTGCTTTTCTCTAGTTTTTTTTTCCCTGGATGGCAAATTTCAGGATTTTTTCCAATTGAAATAGCATAAAATATATTAAGATAATTGTAATGCAGTTAGAAGTAATTTATATGAACCAAAACAAAATGTTTTGAAATTACCTAGTTAAAATATTTCACTTGACCCAGGCAAAGCATGGCGTGACTTATCAGATCACACTCATTGTTGTGTGTTTCCTGCTAAAATAAGGAACCTATTTGTATTAGATACCTTCATCCGGTAGATATAATTATAGAATTATTTCTTTCTCAGTCTTTACATGGTCACTTATTTTGGAGTTCTGTTTGTTTGTTTTTTAAATTTTGCTGTATTTGTTTGAGGTCTCCCTTCCCAGGCATTGAATCATTTTTGTAACTCTTTGCTGAATTATGTCCAGTTTTTAGCATTTATTTTAACATGTGGTCAACAGAAAAGGACACAGTGTTCCAGTAACGGCCCGCCTAGGAGTCGTGTGCAGAGGTGATACAATCTCCTTACTGCTGCCCAGTCTTGTCTTGTTTATACATCCAAGAATCCTGCCAGACCCTTCTGCCAGAGCATTACATGTGGAGCTCATATTCAGTTTGTGAAGAGCAGATGGGTTTTTAGGACATTCATCCTTTTACAGTGGCTCACCTCCTTGTTATTGTTAGTATTGTTTAGTGTTAGGTTTTATATAGCGAATAAAATTCAGTTATCAGCACATTTTTCTTCCTGTTGCTTATCAAGTGAAATTGTAAGGCTAATCTTTTGATGACATCCTGATTTCATTGGCAGTGAATTACTGCCACAAATACAGAATTACAAGCTTGCCGATTAAAAAGCACAAGCTGCTGTAGGAGGCAGAAAACACCTATGAATCAGAAGAAAAATTGAAATAATTCCTTTTTGGATTCCTTTTTTCTTCTGACTTGTTCAATTTAAATCCCTGAGATCCAGTCCCAGAGATCAAATAATTAAACTACCTTGATTTTTTTGACAGGCACAGTCACTGGCTTCGTCTTTATCTACTCGACAACTATTACGAATTTGTCGTCGACTGTCACAACATCCAGATGAAAGCCTTTACTATGCTGTTAATAAAGCCTGCCTTTCCAGGTAGAAGTGCTAGTTTTGGTGGAAGTTCGAGAGCTTCTTGGTCAGTTGCTAACATGCAAGATAGCTTTTAATGTGTTTTAGTAGATAATACAATTGCTGTCTTGCTTCTTAAAGTCTGTCCTTTCTTTCAAGTATTTCTGTGGTTTTCTCAAACCTAGGAGGTAAGTAGAAATGACTTTGTACTCTTTTTTCATCTTTATGAAGATATTTCATTACATTATGTAAATCAGTCACCATTGTCACTTCACTGTCTCAAAACACTCAAAGCAGAGTTACATTAATGTTTAGTATGACTGATGTTTGGTGGAGGCTTGGTTTCAGTTCCAAAAACTGTATCTAGAAAAGTTATGAACATCTAATTTTGTGGGTTTGGGGTTTTGTTC